GAGTGCTAGCTTGTAGTTCCGTGTAGGTCCATAAGGCGGGACCACGGGCTGGTTCAATAGCGGGTTGTTATCCATAAGAACTTGAAAGGATCTCTTTTGGGTGGTTGCGTCCAGCTCAGCGACTTCGGAGAAGTACATGTTCAAGTAGACGAGAAATCCAACTGGCCGGGGGAACGAAGCCACGAACAACGGGATTGTTGTCGTGTGTGTAACTGCAGTAACTGCATTCTGGAGAACTGCAGGGGGAGGTTGGTCCAGTGCTGTTGTCGGGGCGAGGGAAGTGTCGCTTGGTACGTTGATTAGCCCGTTTTTGCCTACTGCTGGTATCCATAATCTGTCGTAAGGGTCGTCTTTGTACCTAATTATATGTAGCAGCAAATTAATTAGTACCGGAACCGAAACCGAAACCAAAACCGACATTATTTATTTATTTAAAAAAACAAAAGAAGGGTTCATCTGAATTATTAATTAATTTAATTGCTAAAAGGACCACTCGTGTTATAAATATAAGCGAAAACCACCCCATGATGCAATTGTTCTAGCAAACTCCCCCCTGTAAACCATCATTTAGGGGGTCATGTGCTAAAATAACTGCATTATAGGGGTTTTTTTTGCTAATATTTATAACACGGTGAGGTTTTTCGCAATTCAATATAACATAAAAGAACTAAAATGCAATTCAATATAATATAAATGTACTAAAATGCAATAAAAAAAATTCTCACACATGCCGCATGCCCTTCTTCGTCAATAATCAATATTTGACGATGTTAATTATTTCCAATTTTAGCCTCAACTATATAGATATTCATGTAAGAAATGGGAATGTTACAATTTCCACCCTTAAAGTTTGCATCAATTTCATATTTAGTCCTCCATATTCATGAAAAATACATATGTTCCCTATTGTTTTAATAATTTAATAATTTTAGTCATTTCCGTCAATTTAATGATAGTCTACCAGTTTTTACAATTTAGGGCGCACGCTTGATTCTGTTAGTACTAACCGAAAATTGACTTAAATGACTAAAAGTGTTGAACTTTTAAAGTATGTATGGGGGATCAAATGTTTTGTTTTGTAAACATGAGGGACCAGATATGAAATTGGTGCAAACTTAAGAGATGAAGACCGTAATTTTCCCTACAAGAAATCTAGTGCAAGTTTCCAAGAAAAAAAGAATAAAAAATCTAAATCCAAGAAAATGAGTCTATATATCTGAAATTGGTACCTTATAGTTTCACTAGCACCATAAGCAACCCTTTTGATCAAATGAAGGGGATAATATTGATCACCATTGCTATACATTGTCAATCCCACGCTACGAACTTCAATAGCCGAAATAAACGGGAATTGACGGGGTGCTGTTTGAGCAACGCAAACACTCACATAATCCAATCTCGTAACATAAGTCACCTCGTGATAAACATACTCCGTAACCGAAGTGTCGACGGTCGTCCAAAAGTTCCCGTCGAAGTGGAGATCGAAAGACGGGGGCGAAGACAACCCGTCGTAGTTCCCGTAGAGAAAACTCGCACGCACAATTACCCTTTCGCCCTTGCTAGCTTCGATCGAGTAGCAGTTCTTTTTATGAGCAGTGAACACTCTTAGTGTGTCCATTACAGGAGATACGGAGTTGCTCGCTTCGACAACCTTCGATTCCCCGTTTTGCATGTCGGCTTCGTCTCCTGTCCACACGATCTGATTTTCGTCTTTGTACGTTGTTTTCGACGATCCGCAGTCGATGCTCTTAAAAACTGCATGAGACAAATAAATTAATATTAGAGGACTAGATATTAAATAAGCTAGTATAAAAGGGCTCGAAAGTAAATACTTACCATAAGCTGAGGTTGATAAAATGCAGAGAGAGAAAAGGAGGAAGATGGTATGGATTGCCATAGGGAAATTTGATATTTGATCACTACTAGAAAATCAGCTTTTAATGACGCATTTTAATGACAGCTTTTAAAATTAGTCGTAATAAGTACTTTATTGAGACGCTTTTGTGTAGAAGCGCTTCACTAGGTTCGTATAGCTATTTTTCCGTTTTTATTTTATTTTTAGAAATGCATTTTGTGGCGGTTTTTAGGCAAGCATCATAACATATTGATTGTATTAAGACGCTATTTATAAGACGTCTTAATATAAGCGTAAACATTATATAATTTATTAAAATAATTTAACTTTAACATAACAAAATTATTTTGTGGGCTAGAATCTCTTCCGTTCTTCTTCTTCCCTTCTTCCCTTTCGGCATTTCCCTTTTCTCACCGTGCAGCGAAGCAGGGTATTCAATTTTCAATGCAATTTTCGTTTTTCTCCGCAACCATAGGCTTCAATATTCCGTGGTCTACTCAATCTTCAAGGCAATTTTCGTTTTTCTCCACAACGACAGATTCAACTATTTCGTCAACGAATAAGGTTTTTTTTTTTAATTGTTAGGCAACAACAGATTCGTAGAGTAGTGGGTTAATCAAATTTTGATTATTGTTCTATGAAAACGGATTATACTTCTGATCTATTTATTGATTGCAACTTGGTGGCAGCGAGGGTCAGCGGCGAGATAATACATCGCCATTTTTTACCTAGGGTTCCATGTTATGATTGTTCTCATGCGCGATTCATCTAAGCGGTTCTCAAGGTAGATTTTTTTTTTCGATTTAGTTGGTAAATTTGATTTCTAAATGATTTGCTGGCGAATATTTCACCTAATTGAAATTTATTTTTGGAGAAGGATAATTATATTCTATTTTATGAGAATACACAACAATTGGCTTATCGCATTTCTGTTTTTGCTGTCAAGAAATAGTTTTTATTTTGTTAATTATTAGTCTGTTTCATTTTAATAGCTGGAAACAGGATGGCTATTGAAAGAAATTGGTTTGTGGGATTATGATTTTTGTCACACATGGAAATCAAGAGATTCTTGACTGGTTTTTATTTATACTGTCTTTTGTGTTATTTGATATTTATTTTAGTAATGGTTGGAGTATTAGGGTGTGTTCAGCCTGGGTAACCAATGTTATATAAGTATTTTTTTTTATAGATTTTTCAACTATTTGATAGCTATTTAGTAATTGTCAGAGAATTCGGGGATTAACACATATCTTGTAGGTCCCAAATGCCCTGGTCACTTTTATCACTCATATGTTCTATATATCACTTCTAAAATATTTGTAGTGTGCAGTCCCTAGTGTATGGAGTGGTGAAGGAGTGGAAGCAACACTTGATCTGCCTTACTTTCCAGTGGCTATCCTCCATTGCTCTTCATTGAGTAGAACTCTGGTATCTTTCTACAATCTTGTTACTCCTGTTGGACTAGTATGGTTTTTTGTATTTAATTTTTTTCTTCTTGTCATGATTTCAATAATAAGTCCATAGTATGATGGTGAACTGTATACTTATTTAAGTCATATGATGGGATAAGAGGTGAAGGCTTAGCTGGTTAAGCATCCATTTAACAAATATTCTAAATTAAAATGTTAGAAATCATATTAGTAGCTAAACTTTGAGTGATTACTTATTTGCATTCTACTGTGAAACATTTATCCTTTTGATTTGTCAATGATAAAGACAATTGTTCTCGGTTCAAGAGATGATTGGTTGTGAAGGTTAATTATTTGCTTAAGAAGTTCACTTGCATTTAGGATAATCCTAATTCCTTGTTTACAGTATCAATTTTTATCTCATCTTATACTTGACTACACGAGTATAATTTTTTCCTATTAAACCCACTTAATCAATTGCATATTATTCATTTTTTTATATTATTAGTGTTGATTTCATAATTGATACTGTTAATGTTGTATTTCCTCACAAAACTAACTTTTTTATTACTCAAACATGATTGATGAGCATGTATTTCAGGTATTTCGATTTACTTGTAGGAGGTGGAGTATTTTGACAAGTTGCAGTAGATGGTTCCAAGTCTTAGGAGATACGATGAATTGATTGATAGTGTTTCTGTAAAATAGAAGATTTTTTTACTGAATTACGCCTCATATGTAATTTGTTGTATCACTAAATGAAATTTAAAGAGTTCAATTGCACTATTTTTGGTATGTTGTAATATTATTATACTTTTAATACTTGTGTCTTTCAAATTAATATAAATCAAGATAAAAAAAAATAACAGCAGATGGTTGATATAAAAGAGAGGAAAACGTGACAACAAACAGCGTCACAAGAAATACATTCTAGAGACGAGCGGAAGCGTCCTGAGAGCAAAGCTATTGGGACGCTTCTTTCCCGTCACAATAACCTATTACCACGGCCACCTATGTGACGCTTTGGTTAGGCGTCGCAATAGATAAAGCGTCACAATAGAAGCTTGTTGTGACGATTTTCGGCGTCCTAATAACCCATTATTTTAGTAGTGGATAATTGAGATTTAGTACTTCAACTTATATATTCTCTTTAATGAATTGTCTGAATTAAATGGCTTACATTGAGTGGACAGAATTAATTGAAGAATGTAGAGTTGACTTCGTTTGCATGACTTGACTTGATTCGGATCACATTGAATGAGATTATATATATTAACTTTTTACTAACTAGTTAATTATTTAATGGGTAAATTACGCCCACGCTCCTGAGGTATGCTTAAATAACTTTAAGGTTCTTGTGGTACCGATAATTACACTCACCCCCTTGAAACGTAGTTATAAACTCTAATAGGATAATGCATTGGATACGTTATTACGATAGAGTTCTAACGAACTATTGGTTTCAGGAAGGTGAGTGTAATTATCGATACTACAGGGACCTTAAAGTTATTTAAGCATACCTCAGGGGTGTTGGTGTAATTTACCCTTATTTAATTCTAAGATATACACAATTTCTGATGGCTCGTTCGATTACCTATATTCGATTAGATGTGATTAGGTGAATTCCTTAATGACCAATTAGTTATTTAGTCGGTAACATGTTCGGCTAGTTAGATTAATTCTCGTATTAAATTAGTTAAATTCTGGTATTATATTGAATTTGACCATAAAACCTCTTACTCAATAAAATTAGTCGTATGGGGAACGGATGCTACTAAATAAATGAAATAGTAACATATTGTAGCGGACTTTAGTTTTTTTAGCGGTTTTGAATAAATACGAATCTTATCAATCGAACTTATTATTATCAGCTCCAACTATTTAATTAGTAGAATCTAAACCTTTATAAATTAATGCAGTCGGAACTAGCAAAATTCTATTAATTTAGCGAAATATTAAATTATCGAACTAATAATCTTATACATTTTTACCGACTCGGGACCGAAATAAATTATTATTTAAACAAAATTATCAATTTATCGAGATTCTATTTAACTGTTGGCACGTATTTGCTGGTTCATAATGAATAAATAGAGGAAAATAGAGAAGTCAAAGTTGAACACGAGGACTTGACCTTGACCCTTAGCCCAGTCAACCCGCTATATCATTTTGTTTTTATTTAACACCCCCGTAATATATCATTTTCGTCCAAGTAAAAAATTCTTATTCATGTATGTGCAATAAATAAAATTTAGGCGGCGGATATATGCAAGCTATATTTTTATTAGTTTAAAGTTTAAACTCACATAAAAGAGTTTATTAGTTCAAGCCCGTAAATTAATTTTATTTTATTTCAAGACTAAAGAGGACGAATATATCCTTATTCACAAATAATACTCAAATACAAACAAATTATATTTTTAATTTGTTCAAAACAAAAAAATAAAGAAAAAAAAAACCAAAAAAAATAACTCACGAGTGCCACCGCCAGACTGCCGCAACGCCGACCAACGAAACTTCCCCCGCGCCGACGACGACCAGCGACCCACCCACCGCCACCACCACCGCACCATCACCAACAAGTCCTTTTTACTAAACTTTTATTTGTAAATTCAAAAACATTAATCGAGCATCGATTCTTGATAAATATGCGTGGATGAACATTAATATATGCTTATTTCTTGTTGGGTTGCAATGTTTTAGCCGATTTTGGGCAAAAAAATGAGATTGAAATTGTTTTTTGTGTTTTTTTTTTCGTTGGTTTCCCAAATCGGTTTACCCAAACCGATTTTGTACACGAAAATCGGCGTCATAATGCCGAATTTTTGTTAACCAAATCGGCGACACAACGTCAACTTTACAAGTCAAAATCGGCGTTGTAATGTCGACTTTTTATTTTTTATTTGGTTTTGAATTTCATTAAGGGTAAAATAGTATTTTTATGTTGGAGGTCATGAACTAATAAAAAAATGGGCTTGCATATATCCGCCGCCTAAAATTTATTATTTTTAGTAACTTGTAAACCATACGAAAACGGTAAAAATTGTATCGGACAAATCTTGAACGATAAAACAGACATATAATTTATTTTAACTAATTGATCGAACTCGAACAATTACATTGTAATTGATACAAATAAAATTACAATTAATTGAATAATCTAATCTTGTTTAATATAAACTAAAAACTTAAAGAGTAATGCTCAAGAAATGCAAGATTTCGAAAATATATCGAAACCTTTCAAGTATCAGGCAGTATCTTGGTATGTTTTGATTGGTGTAGATTTAACTGCAACACTTTGCTGGCTCCTAATTGCGTTTTTTTTTTTTTTTTTGATAACGAAGGAATTATCGGTATTTGCTAGTGCCAACTAATATACCCGAACCAGTGGCGGAGCCACCCTTTGGCAAGGGTGGGCTCCAGCCAACTCTCATTTTTTTAAAAAATTAAATTATATATTATGTCTATATATAATTAGCCCCCAAATAGTTGAATTTAGCCCACCCAAGTAATTTAGTTTAGCTTATCTACCAAAAAAATTATGTTATATGAATAAAAAGAATTAGTTTATAATTTGTAGTTATTTTATGCTATTTTATGTTAATGAATAAAAAAAAAAATCGGGGGCGCTGCCCCCGAACCCCCATAAATGTTAAGCCCACCTACCCAAGTAATTTAGTGTAGCTTACATTAGTTTAAGTTTATAAATATGTAGTTATTTTGTGCTATATTTTTATGTGAATGAATCAAAAAATAAAAAATATCGGGGGCGCTGCCCCTGAACCCCCCGCAATATTAAGCCCACCCTGTCTCGAATTCCTGGCTCCGCCACTGCCCGGAACCGATAACTTCTAATCGGGAACTTACTATGAAAATAGCCTAACATATTGATAACTTAAACTCAGATAACTGCACATATCATGAGATATCAGATAATAAAAATCGAAGAAACGTATCTTTTTCTTCATCTTCGTCGTAGTGCAGAATAGCCCAATCCTCGATTATTCGGTTAGTGAAGAACTAGTATAAGTCTTGCAAGAGTTCCCTATGTGCAGAGATCAGGATTGCTTGTCACCCTGGAAATTAATATAAGACCATCTTTGTTTTTTTAGTTGAAAATTAATAAAGAACACTTTTCGAAACTCGAGTTTACACTAAATTTAGGCTGTTTTTCTTCGACAAATAATCCGGTATAGGGCCGCTGAATTCGTGCTTGCCACCAGGTGTAGGGTCGAACAAATCATGACGGAGTGACGGAGCATGGAAGCCGTAAAAAGAATTAATCCTATAGAATATACTCGAAATTCACTGAAGAATTAAGCAAAAGACGACGAGTTTTTTTTCTTCTTTTCTCAATAAATGACTTGAACTCGTAACCAAATAGATCTTAAAACTTAGTTAAATTGGAAAACACAAAATATTACCAAATGTAGTAAAAACGAGACAATACTTAATTAATTCTAGTAGATTTCCTTAATTTTGGAAACACTAATTCGCAAAATTGGAATCCGAAATTTCAATATCAATAAAAAAAAAAAAACAACAACAACAACAACAACAACAAATTATATCATCTGATTTCTACTATGCTACATCGGCTGAAATTCATCGAACTTAAAATACAAATAACCAGAATTCTCTTCGAAAGACTGAACTCTTCAAACTAACGATCATCACCAAGAAATTTTCTCATATACGACGAACGCCCTTAATTTCCGTGCAATATTTTGGAAAATTACGGTAATATATACTTTATTTTATTTTATTATTGTTCAAACAAATTACTATATATGCTAATAAATCAAAACCAAACAAAACACCTTCAATCAGCAACATCATTAATCTTAACACTACCGCAAGACATCATCCGCCGGAGAACAGAGTTGAACGGCTTATTACTCCGGCAGCCGCCATCGGATCGTCTCTTTCTCTTATATTTAGAGTGGCCGAGCCAGTCATAGGTGTAGTCTTCTTCTCTTGAGAAAGTGTAGCTTCTCAAAAATACCCGTCTGCATGCCACGTACGCATCTGCCGCCTTCTTCCTGTCTCGGCCGCATCCACCAACACCGCCATCATCGCCGCCGCCCTTGCCAATACTATCGCAACCATCATTGCCGCCCTTGTCAATATTCTCGCAACCACCGGAGATCAACGACTTGATGAACTCAGCATCGGATTCCGGCCACTTGTAAACGACGTTGAAATACGTGGATCCCTCCGGAACAAGCTTCTTGTTTGCGCCCATCTTTTTTTCTTGCTGCAAATTTATTTAGGTCAGATGGATAATTTTATCTAGCTATATATATATATATATATATATATATATATATATATATATATATATATATATATATAATTACATTAAATACCTTTTCAAGTAGGATTTGAAGACATGCAACGAGGAAGTTTAATTAGGACTAGGACTGAGTAGGACACTTTAATAATTGGTTGTTTATTTATTTATTTATTTTTATTGTTCCCGAATTAGGTGACTAGGATTCGACCCTCAATCCTAAATATGGTACCAATAAGATTTGTAATCAAAAGAATTTAGTTCAATTTACCGGAATTCCTTTAAGATTTGATGGAATATTTCATTGTAAATTATTTTTTGATAAATCATGAAAAGATAATAAATAAATAATTTATAATTTACAAATAATATTTGCAACCAAAAAAATATATAACTTCAAAAATTATTGAAAAAAAAGGGATAATTAGCAATACCCCTCATCTAGGTAAATGAGTTAAGAAAACCCCTCTCCCAAAAATAATTAGAGAAAACCCCCTTACCTAATATTCTACCCAAATATTATTTAATAATTCCCAAACCACCCTTATTACACCTAACCCATGCCATTCTCTCTTTTTTTCTTTACATCGGAAAATCCAATCGTTACAGACCCAGCCCCGACCTCCAGCCCCTGTCGCCGCTGACGAAGCAGCTTCCCCCACCGCCACCGATCATAAACTCGCCGCCGCCGATGTCGTCCTCCGACGACGAGAGCCACGATACAAATTTCTACACTCCACAAGGCCCGTCTCTGAGCAACAGGTCTGCTACCGGCGGTGATTTTGGGTGGAGGATTGCGATGAGTCTGCTACCGGCGGCGTATGTGTGCGTGGATGGTGATGGTAATGATGGTTGTGGCGACGGTTTTGAGTGGAGGATTGCGATGGGTCTGCTGGCGGCGGCGGTTTTGGGTGGAGGATTGCGATGGGTCTGCTGGCGGCGGCGGTTTTGGGTGGAAGATTGTGATGGGTTTACTGAATTCGCGCTGAAAAAGAAATTCGCGCAGGCAGGGCCTTAATCGACTACGTGTGTTTAATCGATTATGTTCAATAGTCGATTAAGGCTTAATCGACTATGTTCGGTAGTCGATTAAGGTTAACCGACTCCAGTTGTTAATTTTTTTTTTTTTTTGATTTTTTGTTTATTGATTCCAATGTATAAATCAATTACAATGTTTGTATATTTTTTTTAAATATAGTTGATTTTGCATTTTTTTTGTAATTATGATTTGTTATTTTTAATAGCTAAAATTTTAATCGACTATGCATTAATAAACCTGATAGAGAAAAAAATTAAAAAAACCAAAAAAAGTTAAAAAAAAAAAATTAGAAACAAAAAAAAAATAAAAAAATTAAAGATTTTCCTTAATCGACTATGAAGCATAGTCGATTTAAGACTAATCGACTATGCTTCATAGTCGATTAAAAAAACGGAAAAAAAAAAATCGTGGAGCTGTGACCCAGTGATGAGGTGGCGGGCGGGGGTAAAACTGGAAAATATAATAGCTGAAAATGGGTATGGACTTTTCTCAAATGGACTAAAATATTTTGGGCCTCCCTCAATTAAAAAAAATAGTGAGGGGATTTTTTCAAAGAGCCCAAAAAAAAAAAAACCTAAACCTTTTTTTTGGGTGCGGGAGGGGGGGATCGAAATTGGTGGATAACAACTACTTATAAATTATGAATCTCTACTTACTTCATAGTCGGTAAATGTTAGGTCTGATTTTATAATTAAAGGAAAATTGGGAGGAAAATAATGGGTGCAACAAGCAATATTTTAAAAATTAATGTGAGATAATATAATAATAAAAATGGCTTATTAGTTATTAGGGGTGGAAATATAATTATCCAAAAATATTAGGGTTGATTTTATAATTACAGGAAAATGAGAGGAAATAGTCAAAAAGGAGAAACCCACTCTTGCTACAAAATCTAACAACCTTTAATCTAATAGTGGTCACATCAAATCTTTAATTGCTACTTAAGAACTCCTCTATTCGGCATAGATCCTTCAATCTCACATCAAGTTTTGGAAGCCTGTTGGACGAAGAACCCCTCTATTCGGCATTTCTCTCTTTGGAAAATTCTCGACTGGAATTTTTTCTAATTGGTCGAAGCGAACTTTTTTAATTCGAAGCGAACTTTTTTAATCCCGTTGACCAAATATCTTCATTTTGATATCCGATATTCCGATTTTTCTAATTGAAATTTGGAATATTACATTAAATTTTTTATTATGATTTCCGACCCAATTTTGACATTCGAGAGTTTGATGATTCTCGATTTTTTTTTTCAAAATATTTTATGAAATAATTTTGAATTATCATGTTTTCTTCTATGAGTTAAATCCGAGTAAGCAAACTTAAAACTGCAACTAGCAAAGAACATTCACTAGTCCAAAATGAGGTAATTAATAAAGAATGAATCTTATAGAAAATCACAAGGGCAAGCTTACAATCTCTAAACAATACTCTACAAACTCAAAATAAAATAAAAACTTGAACGTCTGCGTTTTTAAATTAACAAAAATGCAACTTAAGTAATTAACTCGAAGTAGTTCCAATATTTGCGTGCTGATTTGTTTGATCGTCGTCTTTATCGTACATGTTTAGCTTGATTTCGTTCATAATTGAATCACCCACTCCACCTATTATTTGAGGGTTTGTTGTTGATGTTTGTGGCATGTTTGCTCCTCCTAAAAAAATAAATTAGAATATCAAAAATTAAAATGAAGAAAAAAATATTCGAAAATCGGAAATTTTGGAATTAAAAATCAACGGGATTCGCATCGTCGTTCCAAAAGTATTTACTGACCTGAGCTAATTGCAGCAGTTTTTCTTCTCTTGTGTTTCAATATAAGAATGAATCCAAATACAGCCCATATTATTATAAAAATTGGAACTGTGATTCCAATTATTAAACCCAATTTATTTTTCTTCTTTTTATTATTATTAGATCCCCCAATTCCTGGATTATTATTATTGGTTGGTGTAGAAGAACTCTTGCATGAGTTTCCTGATTTGCACAAACCAGGATTACCTGTCACCCTGGAGAAAAATATAAAATATGATGATTATTTTTTCCAAGTATTTTTTTTTAATTATTATTATTAAATGGAACTTTTTTCGAGCAAGAATTATGAAGTGCGATTTTCTTACACTAAATTTAGGCCGTTTTTCTTCGACAAAGAATCCGGTACAGGGCCGCTGAATTGGTTGCTTGCCAGATTCCTGTGGTATTATATATATATGAACAAAATAAATCATTTTAATTTTCTACTAATTAATATTTAATAAAATTAAACATTTTGGAAAATGTTGACAAATGCGCTTACAGTTGTTTAAGATTAGGTAATGTGGCAAGGAATTCAGGGATTGGCCCTTCTAAGCTGTTGTTATGAAAATCTCTGCAAATTAAATCAAGAAACATATCAAATTAATTATTTAATTAGTTAGCTAAAACATGTTTAATTATTAAATTAAATTAAATTAAATCTCACATTGTTTCAAGTGCATCCATTGTACTAAAATCTGGAACCACCCCTGTTAGATCAAAGCTACTAAGATACCTGCGATCAAGAAACATATATCACACACCAAGAAAAAAAAAACCCGATTCGTATGTGTCGTATTATGTTTCAAGAACAGTGGAGGAGCCAGCATACAACTACGGGCCACGGGGGGCCTTGGCCCCCCCCTAGTATTTTATATAAAATATTTTTTTTTTGAGTATTGTAAATCGAAATAAATCTCAAGAGTGAGATTTAAAGTGAGTATAGAGATTACAATGCTGTTACTCGCGGCACAGGATCGCTGCTACAGTTGATCCAGTCCCACGAGTAAGGCGCCGGCAGACAAGGATCCCCACCCCAATCTTGTAGTGTAGCAAAAGCATTTTGCAACGAAGATAATCCTTCCACTAAATTTCCAAAAAAAAAAAAAAAAAAAAACCATTGATATAAATCATTGTGATTAAACTTAAATAAATTTAAAAAGAAAAAAAAAGATTTTTACTATACCATCTTTGCCGTTAGTTCCATCCGTAAGCAAATCTCCGATAAGGAAAACTTCCATAGCGTTGATGAGAGGGGGGAGAGTCGAGTCATCGGTAGGCACTAATGTAAAACTCGTATTCGAAGAAACGGTGAGGTTGCTAGCGTACAGTTCCGTGCAGTCCCCGTAAGGCGGGACCAAGGGCTGGTCCAATAGCGGTTTGTTATCCATAAGAACTTGAAAGGATCTCTTTTGGGTGGTTGCGTCCAGCTCAGCGACTTCGGAAAAGTACATGTTCAAGTAGACGGGAACTCCAACTGGAGGGAACGAACCCACGAGCAACTGGATTGTTGTCGTGGGTGTAACTGCAGTAACTGCATTCTGGAGAACTGGAGTGGGAGGTTGGTCGAGTGCTGTTGTTGTGGCGAGGAAAGTGTCGCTTGGTACGTTGATTAGCCCGTTTTTGCCTACTGCTGGTGTCCATAATCTGTCGTAAGGGTCGTCTATGTACCTAATTATATGTAGCAGCAAATTAATTAGTATCGAAACCGAAACCGAAACCGAACTTATTCATGAATCTAATTGCTGAAGGACTGCTCGTGTTATAAATATAAGCGAAAACCGCGCCGTGATGCAATTGTTCTAGCAAACTACCCCCCTATAACCATCATATAGGGGGTCGTTTGCTATAATAACTGCATTATAGGGGTTTTTTGCTAATATTTATATCACGATGAGTTTTTTCGCAATTCAGTATAATATAAATGTACTAAAAATATCTCACACATGCCGACATGCGGCATGCCCTTCTCCGTCAATATTTGACGATGTTAATTGTACCTAGCGAAATTTCCAGTTTTGCCCTCAACTAAGTTCATGTAAGGGGAAAATTAGAATTTTCAAACCTCAAGTTTGCATCAATTTCATATTTAGTCCTCCACATTCATAAAAAACATATTTGGTCCCTCATGTTTCAATAATTGAACAATTTTGATCATTTCCATCAATTTACTGATAGCCTATCAGTTAATGCAGGGCACACCCTTGATTCCGTTAGTACTAACGGAAAATTGACGGAAATGACTAAAAGTGTTGAATTTTTTAAGCATATATGCATATATGGAGGACCAAATGTGTTGTTTTTTTATCACGAAGAACCAAATATGAAATTAATGCAAACTTAAGAGATGAAGACTATAATTTTCCATATAAAGAAATCTAGTGCAAGTTTCCAAGAAACAAAGAAGAAATCTAAATCCAAGAAAATGAGTCTATATATATATATATAAATATATATATATATATATTTATATATATATATATATATATATATATAAATATATATATATTTATATAGAAATTGATACCTTATAGTTTCATTGGCACCATAAGCAACCCTTTTGATCAAATGAAGGGGATAATCTTGATCACCAATATTGCTATACATTGTCAATTCCACGCTACGAACTTCAATAGCCGAAATAAACGGGAATTGACCGGGTTTCGTTTGAGCAACGCAAACACTCACATAATCCAATCTCGTAACATAAGTCGCCTCGTAATAAGCATACTCCGCACCCGAAGTGTCGACGGTCACCCAATAGTTCCCGTCGAAGTGGAGATCGAAAGACGGCGGCGAAGACAACCCGTCGTAGTTCCCGTAGAAAAAACTAGCACGCACAATTACCCTTTCGCCCTTGCTAGCTTCGATCGAGTAGCAATTCTTTTTACGAGTAGTGAAAACTCTTAGTGTGTCCATTACAGGGGATACGGAGTTGCTTGTTCCGACAACTTTCGATTCCCCGTTTTGCATGTAGGCTTCGTCTCCTGTCCACGCGATCAGATTTTCGTCGGTGTATGTTGTTTTCGACGATCCGCAGTCGATGCTCACAAAAACTGCATGAGACAAATACTAAAATATTAGAGGACTAGATATTAATTAAGCTAGTATAAAAGGGCTTGAAAGTAATTACTTACCATTAGCTGAGGTTGATAAAATGCAGAGAGAGAAAAGGAGGAAGATGATATGGATTGCCATAGGGAAATTTGATATATTGATAATTGAGATTTAGTCCTTCAATTTATATACTCTCTCTTTAATGAGTTGTCTCAAAGAGTTCTTGTCTGAATTACCTGGCTTACAATGTGGACAGAATTAATTGAAGAATGTAAAGTTGACTTCATTTGCATGAGTTGACTTTATTCGGATCACATCGAATTGGATTATATTAACTTTTTATTGACTAGTTATATATTTAATTTTAAGAAATTCACAATTTTTGAGTCCTCGTTCGATTACCTATATTGGATTAATTTGAATTAGATGAAATTGAATTAATTCATTAATGACTAAGTATTTATTTAGTCAATAACACGTTCGTCTCGTTAGATTAGTTCTCGTATTAAATTAATTAAATTCTGGTATTATATCGAGTTTGACCATAAAACATTTTACATGATAAAATTAAATTATAATTTTAAGGATAAAAATGTTTTTTTTCCTTCTTCTTGTTTAGTTATTCTCCTACAAAATTAATTGTATGGGAACGGAATGCTACCAAATAAATGAAATAGAGGCATGTGGTTTAACAACAGACTTTAATTTTTATAGTGATTTTGAATAAATACGAATCTTATTAACCGACTGTATTATTAGTCAGTAGAATCTAATAGCAGTTGACACCTATTTGATGGTTGGAATTGTGATTCAATGATTAATTGGTGATTGATTTCATTTGGGGCAGTCTCCATTGGCTGCACATGTAGATTCATGGTTCATAATGAACAAATAGAGGAGAAGTCAAAGTTGAACACAAGGAGTTGACTCGTAGTGCAGTCAACCCACTATATCGTTTGGTTTTTATTTAACACCGTGCCGAAATATCATTTTCGTCGACATAAAAAATTCTCATTCGTGTATGTGCAATAAGTAAAATTTATTATTGTGTAATAACTTGCAAACCATACGAAAATGGTAAAAACAGCATCGGACAGATCTAGAACGATAATTCAGATTTCATACATGTAATTTTTTTTAACTAATTAAACGAACTCGAACAATTACAATGTGTTCTCTTTTACATTGTAATTGATAAAAATAAGATTACAATTAATTGAATAATCTAATCTTGTTTAATATAAACTAAAAACTCAAGAGTAATGCTCAAGAAATGCAAGATTTCGAAATATATCGAAACCTTTCAAGTATCAGGCAGTATCTTGGTATGTTTTGATTGGTGTAGATTTAACTGCAACACTTTGCTGGCATTTAGATGTTGGAATTATTTCAATAATTATGTGGGCTCACATATGTGACGTAAATGTGTATGGCTATCTTAAAGAAAGTCCAAATTAATTGTGATCTAATAAAGGTTATTGGGTTGGACTTATGGGTATTAAACTATAATTATGAGCCTAAAGTGTAGAGACAATTAGGGCTTAGTTGTGATTTATTGATGGGGCTGAATCACAATTATTATATAACTGGACTCTACAGTTATATAAAGGGTCGTGGTCCCCAAAGAAACGCAATCATTCGGTCTCTTCTAAAATCCATCGTTAGAGAGAAAAAATAAGGAACTGCGGATTCTTTGGAAGACTTGTCCCAAATTCGGTGGAGATTCGAAGATTCGATTACATGATGTAAGGTACGCTTCCGTGTTTATGTTTCTGTTTAATTCTCGTTGATTCAAGCATGTTGGTTCTTGGGAATTCGTATGTATATACGATAAATTTCTTACAAGTGGTATCAGAGCCACCATGTCTTGGATCATCGGGAATTTTATAGTTAATTTTCTTTGTTGCGTGCTTCGTGACATACGTTCTGCAATTACGTTTTAATCTGGAATCAAATATGTTTATATTGATATTATAAAACCTTTTGCCTCGTATTAAGGTATTAGATTTTCTGAATTAGGGTTTCATGAATATATGGTATTTTATTCATATTAGGAATTATGAAATGCTGGTTGTGGAATAAAATCTAGTCGGCCTGTCTTTTGTGTGATTATCTATGAATTGCACAATTGAATTTTAATTTCTGACTGGCAATTTTTGAATTGCACAATTGTTGCCTGAATTTGAAATTTCGGATTAAAGTTTTAAGGATTCATTCATTAAGAATAAGAATTAAGGTTAAAGGAATTAAATCTGAGAATTCCAAATCTGAAATTTGGGGCGGCGGCCATCAGGTCGAGCCTGCTGCACCGGTTTTTTCAGTACCGCCAATTCATCGGCTGTCGTCGACCACCAACCACCACCCCCTCACTTCTTTTTCGGCATCCATTAGGTGAAATGGGCGGATTGCGTGTGCTCATATTATTACTGATGTTGAGTGGCGTGATTCGCCTAAAGGGAAGCCGGAGCGCCGACGGTGGATTCCGACGGCGTTGTTGATATTTGTGGGTTGCGTGTTTCCGACGGTGGTATGTGGTATTGATGGTGGCGGTGGAGTTGGCTGAGGTATGACGGCGGTTGATTTGCTCGAGAGGGTTGATTTGCTAGAGAGGCAAAATTAGGTTGATAAAGTTCTAGCAAATTGCAACTTACTCCAATCAAGTTTTCTGAAATTACTAATTGACCCCATATTTGGGTAATTCCTGAGTTTGGGCTGGGGTCAATTTATAATAAATGAAAATATGATTTTAGGCCCAAAGCTTCCGAAAAGTGCATTTCAGTCCCACTTTTAAAGTTTCTCCCAAAACAGTCATATATTTTTTTCGAAAATATATTATAAATCTCAAATTAAGTATTTCTGAATCTCAGATCCCTTTTCTCTCAAAGGCTTTTCTTTCAAATTTTCAATTCAATCCTTTGAGTTGAAAGATTTTCTGGTTTTGGGGCGGAGGCAATTTTTAAGGAATACCAAGTTAATTTAAGGTTTTGGAGCCGTTTAAAATATTTCAATTATTTTGAGGGACCGAACTAATATGTGAATTCTTTTAAATTCACTTAAGGTTTTGTTTGGTCATTAAAGTGAAATTCATTTTGAATTTCAAATTTGGTTTTCTAATGCTAATTTGGGGAATTTTCAGATTTTAAAATTCATGCCTTATTAGGCTTAAATGTTTTAGTTAATGGGTCGAATTAAGGATATGAATTAATTTATTAATTCAATAAGTTTCTGACCAATTATAATTTAAACATTAACGAATCAAAATATGAATAATGGTTATTAGTTAACCAAATAAGGTTTGATTCATTCGGCATTTGAGTCGAAATCCTTGTTTTAAGTCTAAATTGAGTTACTAATAAAGTCCAAATCCATACAAAGGTAGATTTATTGGTTAAGATTTATTTTGGCCTCTAAATCTAAATAATGTTGAATTGTGAGCCCCACATTATCTTTAGCTCAAATTCAAAATAAAGATGGATTTGATGTTTTTTAATTCATACTCATTTTTATGAATAACCATATTACTGAGTTTGATTCGAAAACAATACAGTGAGGCAATCTTAGTGTTGAATATAGGTTGTTAGCGCTCAGGTGATGTCTTTAGAGCCTTAGCTTTCAACAACGACTTTAAATTTTTGAACAATTTTTGGGTACATCTAACGACTTGTTATTAAGTTTGTCTGACATTTAAAATAACTAATTGAAGCATGACGCCACCCTACGTGACCTCTCTGTGTAGATTAGTTAATTGAGAATGTCAAGATGTTTATGTGTATGTGAATTCATGCGAATTTTAACACTACCCCTACGGTAGGTTAATACTTGGCCGAACCACATATGCAACTGTGGTAATAAACATGTGATGATTATTTGGCTCCATGTGAATAAAAGTTACATCCCTACGATGAACTTATTATTTGACAGGATTTATTATCAATGTTTGATTACTACAACAAGAGTGTCACTTACAATTAATATTACTGTCCCTACGACTTGATATTAATGTTGTGCTAGGCATCTTGAGATGTATTCCATAGTTATTTAAAATTTTAAAGACAAACTTTGGATTATAATGTGAGCATATTGATTTTATTTACGTTCTCTATTTAATTGTTTTACCTGCTTACACATTATTTGCCTATAACACTTTTGTGCTTAATTGCACAAATATTTATTCTTATTATTATTATTTATTATGGTGCATAGATCTTAATTTTTTATTTTGGATAGAACAATAGAAGAACCTAGAGTATATCATCGTTCTAATTATAAAATTTAAGATCATTAGGTGCATCTATTTTAAATAATTTTGGGGGCATAAGGTTTAATTAGGGGCTACGTACTAAAAAGTTCCTTAAAGATAGCAAGGATATGTTTTATTTTAAAACGATAAAGTTGCAACAAATTAGATTTTGACATCTATTGCTTTTAAAGAAAAGGAACATAAATGAGCACATCAAGTAATAGTCTAATCTCATTTTCAATTATAGCACTTCAGTTAGTGTGGTTTCACTGACTTGAAAGTGGATATGGTTTAATTTATTTTTCTCCGTGAACGGTCAATATAAGGTTTGTTGTAAAACATAAAGAATAAAACTTTGACCGTACACACGAAGAATAAATAATTAATGGGGAAAAGACTAAGTGTTAATTTCACTAGTACACCTTAAGATAAATATTTATAATTGCAGTTTACATCTCAGGTACGTTGAATAACGTAATTATGCTTGTTTCTCACTTTAATATGTTCTAAAATATGTTTTGACTTTGTACCTTGACACATTTAGTGTATAGATCCTGGGTTACACTATTCACGTAAGTGTGTATATAAGGGTTATTTACATAAGCAATATTCAATTGATGTTGAAAGATACATCTATAAAGGTTATGTAAGATATTTGGGATTGAGACTATGAGGACTCCTAGGTTTTCTTTTGAATTATGAAATAGGCCTTTGGTACCGTCATTAGATGGATTTAAATTTTCTCTTGAACAAATTCGGTTAACTTGTTCATTTGGAAATATTAAGCTCGGTCTATTTTATAATTCAAAATTTAACCTATAATTTAAGTAAAAGTCTCTTACAGTAAAATCTTGCATAAGCAATTTAAATGGTACAAAATTCAAGAATAGAACATTCAAGGACATTCAAAGAAGTATGATAAGTCATTCTTCTTCACTAAGGTATATTTAGGAG